CCCAGATTGAATTTGGACCGATCTAATGATCACAATTGTATTTCGTAATTGAATTTTAATTTTTTTCTACAAATCCAAATTACTTGAAATTTGGAGCATCTATTATTCAAGAATAGTAGAATCTAATAAAAATATTTTGGTCAATTTAATTTATGCAATTTTTTTTTTGATATTTTTATTAGGTGTGCCTTGATGAGAAGAGTTTATGTTTCAAATTTCATGCTATTTGGATTTATATAAAAAATATTAAAATTATATTACCAATATACAGTCCTGACCGTCTGATCGGCCTAGATTCAATCTGGGCCATTGGGCTTATACTATTCCATGAGCTAGTGGGCTCCCCCTAGCATCTTCATATATATATATATATATATATATATATGTATCCTCGGCCTTGCTGTCAAAAGCCTTTCCTTTTCTATCGTATCCAAATACCTAAAAAGTTTCTTGATTATAGATTAAAAAAAAATTCGGATAAAGGATATGAGCTCCATTGTAGAAGATCCCCCGAAATTTTCAATCTCCGATCTCTTCATATACTTGATTAAATCCAAATTTTTTGATAGGGCTTTGATGAAGGACTCAATAACGAATCAAACAGAACAAATTTGGGGTTATGTTGTAAAAAGCTTGAAAAATCAATAAGTCAAGCATCCCAAGATTTAATATGGTTGATTTTTGGTCTATCAATGCATTTATCATTCATTTTAGGGGCTCTACATAGGGAAAACTCCAATTATTAGGGTGACAACAGCAATTTTTTATACTTATAAACTTCGAAAATGCCAGAATTACCATGCAAAAAGGCTTAAGAGGCCGTCTCACCTGAGTTTGGGCGAGACTCGCCCGGTAAGTCACTTATATTCTTTAAGTTTTCTGCTTCAATATTGTGGTAATTTTTCACCTGCTCAGAGGATGCATGCCTTTGCTTCTGTAATATCTAACTGTTTCTTTTTTTTGGTGGGGTGGGGGTGCCGGGGGGAGAGAGAGAGAGAGACTTACTGATGAAGGTAAATATTAGGAAAATTTATCCAAATACCCATGAGAGATGAACTATTTAACATTTTAATTTTAAAATACCCATCGAAAGACACATGATCATGACTAGGAAGGAATAGTTGCAAATAGATAAAATGTTAAATAGTTCAACTCTCATGGGCATTTTGATAACTTTCCCTAAATATTGTACTCTTTCTTTTGCCATTTGCCAGCATTCTAAATGATATAACCTTTCAATTCTCTTAAGTTTTCAGCTTCGAGAGAAAGCTTGGTTTTCTAGCTCCTTAAAATCAAGATTACAGTACCTTGCTTCCACTCCTGGCCTTCCATGTATAGATGAAGAACTGTATAAGGATTGTACTTTGGAGCCATCTGCTGGCCCTGTCGATGCTTTTTGCCTTCTGATATTGGAACCGGAACAGGTATGATCCCCTATAATGGATTCGAAGATTTTAATTTTCACTATCAATACTCCTGATGCGATGAAATTATATACTTCTCATGATATATACACACAAAATGTAGCACTGTTAGTTTGCTCTTTTGAGTTACTTTAAGGTAAATTTATCAAAAACCACGTAAGACATTAGCTATTTACCATTTTGCCCATATATTTTGATTTAATTTCAAAATATGCATAAAAAATACACATGACCATGCATTGTAGTAGAAAAAGGGTTAACTGTTAGTTGTTGAAAAGTTGTGTATTTTGATCCTATTTTTTTTAGAAATTTGAAAAAAACCACATACTTTAAAAATTTACGTCCATACTGAAATTTTGACAGTTTTTTTAATCCCCAAAATGCCCTTCATAGGCCTAATAGGCTCGCGAAGGTTCATCATGGACCTATTAGATCCATGATGGTCCCGTGCATTGATCATACTGTACTTGGTGCTTCACGGAACGATTTGGTCCAAGAAGCATTATCACGGACCTAATAGCTCATGATGTCTTGAGCCTATAATCCAGTGTGGACTACCACGGACCTATTAGGTCCGTGATGGCCTTAAGTGGACTACCACGGACCTATTAGGTCCGTGATGGCCTTAAGTGATCCCATACACTTCGACCAATTGGGCTTGGGCTTAAGTGGTTAGTGGCTGTCTTTAGCAACGCTACATCTCAAGTTCGATTCCTCCCACTATACTACCCAAAAAAAAAAAGAACTGCTTCAGATAACGGTAAAATAGTGGGTATGTTCCAATTTGTTTTTGGTATTTTACGAATTTGAGAAAAATGAGGGATATCTTTTATAAGTTCCCTTTTATTTTTTAAAGCCTCTACACTTATTAAAAATCATCAAAAAAATATTTATATTTAATTATTTTATACTCTACATCTTGGCTTTCCATTCTTCTTTTGGAAGGAATTAATTGTATTTTGTGTTCTCTTTTAGTATCATCTTGAATACATGGAGTTCTTTCCCATGGAATCTCCCCATTCTTTCTCAAAATTATGTATATCCTTCTGTACCCTGGAAATTGACTAAAATTTCTTACAGTTTTTATTGTATCACTTAAACATCTTAAACATATGATACTGTTACTTGTTTGTTTGTCATGGTATATATGTTGGAAACAGTATGCAACATGACCGTATACCTTTCGTACAAAAAGGATAAAATCATCCCCAGCCTTCAGTTGTGAAAATTTGGTCGCTAAGGGTGTGTGACAGGCCATGCTCAAAGTCTGAGAAATTTGCCCCAAGACTCTATGCTGGGAGAAATAGCACTTTCCGGCAGTCAATTTTCCATCTCACAACTTAGGGTTTTGTCACCTTCGTGTATGAAAGGTAACGGTCTCGTTGCATACAATCCCTCTATGTGGACAAAGTACAACAGAGATACACGTACAAGATGTTGCACATTAGCAGATTTAATACCACCACATTCTTTTTTGGTCCTAGATTTTACTTGTGAAATTCTGTATATACTAAATGGTATGCATTGTTATGCCGCAAAAGATTTGGAACGTTTGTAGTTTCTACAGTTGTATATGCTCAGTGTACCTAGTTACTTAAACATACACCTCAGAGTAGCAGATATTTTCGTCCATCAGACCAGTTTTTCTATCAGTGTGGGAACTAGTCAAAACTTTTCAACAACATTTCTTGAGCATTTGTGTGTGTGTGTGTGTGTGTGTGTGTGTGTGTGTGTGTGTGTGTGTGTGTTATACTATTATTTATATTTGTGTTTGGACAGCTCTACCTAAGGGTGCAAATTGAGTCATTCAGACTAGGTGGGGTCCCTCAATCAACCCAGATCCAGCCCAGGTCTAGCTGGGTCGACCTAACCTGGAGTGTAGATAATGTAAAATAATATAATTCTGACCTGCACCCAATTTGAGTCCATGTTCGATGGACCTAGTCTCGGTTAGATCTGTCCAGGTCTAGTGAGGACCCTTTTGGGTCGGGTCAACCCGACCTGGACCCAACCTGTTTCCAGCCCGAGCTTTTTTTAACTTTTTAATTTGTATATATTTGGCTTTCTATGCTTGTCCTTTTGACATCTGAGAAGAATGCATGTACTTAATTTTGATTAGTTTGCCTCATATGCTAAAAATTCCTTTATTGTATTTCATTTTTCTGTTGCCCCCCCCCTGAAGAGCTGTATTTCCACATTGAAAATATGTGTTTCTATTTTCAGGTGGATTACTTAAATTTGAAGGTAAACGTGAGGCTTAGGCACACATTTAAGCAAAGTAATGATGGGAAAGGCCAATGGTTACAGGAAAAAGTAAATCCATAACAACTTGTGATCTAAATAGCAAATTGAAGCATCATCCCATGAAGGCAAACATCTAATTTATTCGATTGATTTCATTTCTTTCATGGCTTATTTTTCTTCTTACTGTTGGTTCACATGTACATGTATTCTATTGAACTTGGTCCATAGCGATACTGTCAATGGGAGCACTGAATGACAAAGAGCAGCAGTATTGGATTCTCTATTAGCAAATGTGGCTTCTAGGTCTAAATTATTGATTAAAATCCACGACTGAGGCTGGAACTCGCCAGTGCCTCAAGCCTGAGTCAGAGGTCGACTCAGCCGAGTCGAGGTGTGGTTTGTCAGAGTCTATCAAAGATACAATAATCAATAAATACCCATGACTTGGGTCAGACTCGCTTCGAGTTTGGGGTTATCTTTATCTAGACCCTGTACCCTGCTATGTCTGCGTGACTTGAGCATGTCTTAGCCCAAGTAGGTGATTTCTTGAATACTAATCTGAACCATTGGTTAATGTGCCAATTGTGCCTGTCTTACTGCTGCACCAACCAAATTTAAGCATAATAGCTATGAATATATAATATATCCATTAAAGATATATTATTTTATTATAAATTAATAAATTGGATAGTGTATCTTCCTTTTACATGATTATTAATCCCTGTATCTGACACTTGGACATTCATTGGATTCAAACATCCATGTCTCTGTCCATGGAGCACATAAATGCTGATTTGGTCTCTTGGACTCTTAGGAGGTTCACTATGGGTGTGGTGCTTTTCACATGAGCCCTTTTATAGGACTGTCACTCTTATCTAACATGAGCATTCAAGAGAATAGTTTTCTTTCAAGCAATTGGACTATTTTCTAGCACCTTTTTTATTTGATCTGAATCTCAAAAATCAGAATTTTGAGCCAGGAGCTTGAAATGAATGCATTTCTATTAAAATCTCTTGAAAATTATTGTGTTTCTAATTTGGCTAAGGCATGTAAAATTATGGATTGCATACTATATGATTGTTCACTTTTGGTACAGGAACGCCATAGTCACTCTTAGAGATGAAAATGAATATTCAGGCCATCATAAAGAGTTTCGGTACTAAAACGACATCTATTGGCACTATTTGAAGGTGTATTGTTTAGGGCCTGACCCTTCTACAAAGTACACTCTTATTTTTACTAGCATAGCTAAAGGGAATTGTTTTGATAGGGCTCCAGCCTATCAAACTATGTAAAGCCTCACTAAGCCTCACTAGAAAACAAGCTGAAATTTTTTGTTTTTGCATCGAAAAACCTTCAAATTAATCATCATGGCCTTGACCACTATGTCTGTACAAAAGTATTAGGATTTCAAGCCTTAAAAATAATACATATAATAGCACATTATCTAGACCGTCCATTTCACCTTCAAAATATTTTTTCATGGATCTACAAGATCTTTACCATCTTTTGAGCTTCAAAGTTTATTGTCAGTGTTGGAAATTCATTTTTGAGCCATCATAGGGATTTCCTATGTGCTAAGTGCTTTTTGGACAAGGGTTCGAGGTGCTTTTCTTTGTTTTAATAAAGCCTTAGCATTATAGAAATTGCACCCTAGGTGGAATGTTAAGGGAAAAAGTTCATATAAGGTTGCAACCTTTGTTGTAGAAATAATATTGTAGTAATTTATATTTTTTATTATATTTGGACGATATAGATTGGACAATATTTCAAAAGATGTGTCATGTATTGACATTGTTTTAAAAGATATGTCAAATTTACATCATCAAAGTAAAATAGATGGTTTATAATACTTCAACAATATTTCTACAAATAACGTTGCAACTTTATGCAAACCACACCCAATGTTAAATGATTGAGCTCTTTATTTTCAAGTAAAGAGAATCGAGGCAAGAAGGTTAATAGAGGTAGAACGATAAAGAGAACAAGATATTTTGGGTAATGAGAGAAAAATAACAAACATTTAAAAGGCAATTATTCTCCCCAATAAGAGTGTGTATGTTTTTTTTTTTTTGACAGTAAAGCTCATAGGCTTGGCTTATACTGAAGCATGAGCCACTTTGAAAACTAGGGTCCACTGGACTCCACATTTTGCACACATAGATCCCATTTAGGTGATCAAAATGATTTTTTTTTAATGGATTCTTACATAAAAACTAAATAATATAAAGAAAAAGTTTATATAAGGGTGCAACGTTATAATGTAGAACTATGGATACTCCTATAAAATCCATCGAAAAAAGGTAGTTTTAATGTTGAAAAACCTTTTGATTGATCATCTCGACATCGAGATGTATGACCATAAAAAATAAAACGGTTTTAAGTTTCAGAAATAGTGCATTTTACATCATATTATCTACACTGTCCATTTTCAAGACTTTCATATGTTTATATATCTATTTGATTTTAACCATTTTTTAAATTTAAAATTTTATAATTAGATATAAAAATAGATTTTGAGATAATCCTAAGAATATTTTACACCAAAATTGTATACCATGGTAAAAGTTAAAAGTGCACCTTACCTCTACAGCTACGAATGCATCCGTATGCCAACTGCACCCATAATATAAACAAATTAAATTAGAAAATAAGTATTTAATGCACACTAAAATTCCCTTGAGTCTTTTAACATTCTCCTACCCATCGCAGGCCAAAAAGGGCAGACTTTGAGTGGAGGAAAGACTTCAAACCAACATTGAAAGGCAGGGGTGTTATTGAAGCACTGTTGAGAATTTTGAAGCACACACACTTAAATTAACGGATTTTATACTATAGACCATTTACTTTTAGTACAAGAATGTCACAATCATTTTAAGCTAATGGATGTGCAATATAATAGATGAAAATGTGTCATAATATTTGAGATATTTTATTTTGGACTTTGTACCCAAACAAAAATACATCTTCAACCACCCCATTTCAAATGTAACAGTCACCGAGGATTGTGGCCTCCTTGTTTCAAAAGTAACGATCTCATTGTATACATTTCCTAATTAATGCTACCACTTTTTTCTCTTTTTTAGGAGGTCAAGTGGGATTTGAACCTTTGGGCTCTACGATGCCTTTGAAAGAAGAATTCGTGTGATCAAGCCGGAGACATAATAATTTTTTTCTTTTTTTTTCAATTATTTCTTTTCTTCACAATCTATATCCCTTACAAGTAGTCATTTTATAATATAATCATTTCAAATAAAAGAAGAAAAAAAATACAATATGATCTCAAGAACTTGAAGCCATTCAAAATCTTTTTTTCAATAACAAAGAAAAAACACAACTTATACTTAGGAATAAAAGACACAATAAATAAATATAGAAGAAATAAAGGGTGTCAGATATTACTTCAACTGTGCTTAGTACACTCCACGTCAATTCTCCTCCTTCAAATGGTGCTCGGGATCTTTGACCGGTCTTTTGATTTCTCTTTTTATGGCAAAGCCCAATCAATGCATATGGATCTCGATCTAAAACCACCCACCTAAAACTTCAATGCTTAGGCCTAATTCAAGCCTTTTGGCTTGATCCTTATGAGAGATAGTAATCAAGAAATGAAGGAGAAAACTGCTAGCTAAGGATGATTCCTTGCTGCCTATAAAATCACATAACTAAAAGCTAGCATGATTTAAAACCCATGAGAGAGATTCAAGCTTAACCTAGCCTAGCTTGGGCATGCCCCTTTTAGGATAGTTTGTGTGAGAGAAGAGAGAGGTAAGCTAAGGTGGGGCGTGGCCCTGTAGGTTTCTTGGAGAGAGAGAGATGGTAACCTATGTGGGGCATGCCCCTTAGAGAGGCTAGATGGAGAGATTCTATTTTAGAGAGAGAGTAATTAAGAGGTGTAGAGACAAGGGAGGAGAATGATCATTTTTATAGATTTTTCATGCATTAGGGCTTGCTATAAAATCGTATGAGCAAATATTGACCGTCGATCTAATGAGGCTTGTGGGGTGAGAGATGTGAGCCATCCATTCCTTAGATCCACCATCAAGATACTAAGGAATGTGTTAGAACCTTATCACCCACTTCCTAAATCTATTCCCATCAAATAAGTTGAATAAGAAAATATTTCTTTGTAAATATTCATTCCTTATTTCTCAATCAAACCTTATTGATTCTCAAGATTTTCTAAAACCACATATTTCATTCCTTTATAGCAAGTAGGCTCCTCTCCACAAAAAGAAAGCCCATTAGCATGAGATGCCTATCACAATATTTAGTAAGAAATGACAATCCCCTAGGGGTGGGGTGTGCCACCCTTTGGTGGGGCCACTCATGGCCCCCACCCAATTGTCCCATGAGATTTAAATGGGCCTCCAATAATTATGGAGGGTCCAACATATTTTAGAAACAATAAGAAATGATTTTTAGATTTTTCAAACCTTGTAGTTTATTTAAAACTTTAGAAATAAATTTATCTTGATTTATAAATCCAAATGATAAAATTAAAATATCAGAAGATTCATAAAAAATTTAAAAAATATTCTAAGAGTCAAATAATATAAAATTAAATTAATTTTGAAAGGAATCAGATCCAATGCATAGGAGCACTCCACCTTCTACAGTAGACCACGATCCACATTAGCTTTCTCAAACTGACCTAGTAGTTCTTATGACTCCATTGCAGGGGCTCATAATTGGATCGCCAAAGTCAATCAATATGCTAGAGGACGTACCCCCAATTTACGGATTTCAAGTTCTCTACTAGAGATAAACCATGATCTGTTAGACCATGATGCAACAATGACTCTATGATGCATAAGCAATCTCTCGCACATGTACACGTTTCACTCTCAATGGTGGATTACTATCTCAGTATGACTATCTATGTATATGCCGTGTGATGATACGATGATGAGGTTTTAGTCCAGTCTTTATAAACTATTCATCAAAC